AATTTTGATCTTCAGGGGTAACAACAGATTCATTCGTAATCGAGGATAGATGTCTATGTCTATGGACCACAGAAATCTTTACCATCAGGTGGACGTGTTCTACTGTTCGTTACCATTATTCTTTAAAAAAAAGTGTGTGGCTTACTTCTAACTAAACGATCACCTACGAGCTTAAGACAATTAATATAAAACAAATATGACGATTTACTTAAAAAAACTCTTTTTTGATTCAAATAGAACATACTAGAATCTATTGTTATAATTAAATAAGAAGTAGAGAAATATAGTGTTATCATAAATAACGTAAAACGTTGTCATGTTTGTTACGGTATTAATATTGTTGTATGATATAAGTTGATGTAATACTGTTTTTACACCATAGTGTAAAAACAGTATTACATCAGTGGCCATAGCCAAATCTTAGGAAATATCGTTAAATCGTATCGTATTTGGCACCCCTATTTTTGACATCACTAAATGGCATAGTTATTATATCTATGCTAACTGGTCACTTGTCACTATAGTTCATAAAGGATAGCTTGATCTCTGCGACAGCTGTCAGTAAAATCACGCCTACGAAGTCCTTAATTTCTTAGTAGTACAGACAGTACCTGTCAATGTCATACTTTATGGGCATGCCAACCTAATTAGTGCATGCCCATAAAGTATGACATTGACAGGTACTGTCCGTACTACTAAGAAATTCAGGACTTCATAGGCGTGATAGAATTAGGCGTTACTTTGCGGAAATCCATTATAAAAAAAATTAAAATATAAACTACTTCGCAACCTGCCGCTAAATAAATACAATGATATACGTGGTAGAGCCATGCTGCAGCTATATTAATTGTATAGTTGTAGCACGAATGGGTCGACTCGACCGGGGAAGGACCACGCTCTCACAGAATACCGGCGTCAAATAGCAGCTTAATGCTGCTGTGTTTCGTATGGTGAGTGTTGAGAACCGGAGACCCTTTTTACTGGAAAAGAGGTATTCTATCTTAGTCCTCAAGGCTGACAACGCATCTTCATTTTGATTCGTAAACGAGGATGGATGGAGATGTCTATGGGCCACAGTAACCACTTATCATCAAGTAGATTGTGTGCTCGCTTGTCACCCTTTTTCTATAAAAAAAATGTGTCTTACCTGGATTGAAGTGCACCTCCCTCCCTCCCTCAATTGCATGCACTAACTCCGTCACCACTAGTCTCAGCACCACTACTCCCAACCCCACTACATCGCCGTAGAGTCTACATACCTGAGGATGCCTCGTGTAGAGGCGAAATACGTGTCGTATTGTCGTCAATGGTGTGTCTTACCTGGAATAGTGGTGTTGGAAGTATTGGGGTTGGGTGTAGTGGTGCTGGGACTAGTGGTGACGGAGTTAGTGCATGCAATTGAGGGAGGGCGGGAGGTGCTCTTCAATCCAGGTAAGACACATCATTGTATTTATTTAGCGGAAGGTTGCGAAGTAGTTTATATTTTTATTTTTTATTCATAGGCGTGATTTTTACTGAAAGCTGTCGCAGAGATCAAGCTATCTTTTATAAACCATAGTCAGTCTCTCATCTGTGCTCTCACTCAGTCAATTACAATAGCGTCACCATAGCCATAATGACTATGGGTTTCACTCGTTCTTCATAATTATATCGGTGTGTTTTGAAGACTTTCAGGAGTATTTATTGAATATTACGACTTGGCATTTTAACAGACTCTGGTTATTTTCAAAAACGACTTACCTGGCTGTAATTTTTGGAACTGTGTACCTACTACTCAAACGATAACCTGCCACTCATAAACAGACTTACGAATATGCAATGGAAAGTATATTTTGTGTAAATTGCGGGTCTGCTTGTAGTTCTATGTTGCTAGAAGACGGTACTAAAAATTGCTAAATGTTTTTGGATATGATTTTTAAATTTCCTAAAAATACCTCGGAGCTATGAAATACTATAATATTAGAAGATATATTATAACTCTAAAATCTGATATTTTTTTTTGAAATATATCTATTCTGTAGCTAGTACGCTATAAAATAAGACAATATGGGAATTCACTAGCAACGACGCAAATAAACGGCCCCCAGTCCCCGGCGACCCCGCTATTCCTGGCTACGGTGGCGACCATGGTAACGGCGGGGCAGGGGGTGCTAAGAATCTCCGGTGGAGGTTCGGTTGCCACCTACGACGACTCGACCTGGCAACGTATAAGGCACGCACCCTGAGGACTGACGAGAAGATACTGGAGCTGGAAGAAGAGGTAGACAAATTGCGCTGGCATATTATTGAATTATCTGAGGTCCGAAGAGAGGGGAAGGACACGGTAATCCTCGAGTCCGGCAACTTGTTCTATCACCGGGAGGGCGACCATCTGTCCCAAGGAGGTGTCGGATTTATCGTCCACAAGTCTCTCGTCAACAACGTTGTAAAGATTGGGAGTGTGTCGACGAGGGTCGCGTATCTGATACTCAGAATCACCAAACGGTATTCGCTGAAGGTCATACAGGTCTACGCACCAACCTCGGCACATCCCGATGAGGAGGTGGATGAAATGTATGAGGATATTTCTAGAGCCATGCATTCCTCCAAAACCCACCACACGGTGTTGATGGGAGACTGCAACGCAAAACTAGGCACAAGAGACGGCGGTGAGCTGAAGTTAGGGAAATTTGGAGTAGGGCAACGGAACCGTAGGGGCCAGCAGCTGGCTGACTTTATGGAGAAAGGGGGACTCTTTATGATGAACTCTTTCTTCCAGAAGCGGCCCCACAGGAAGTGGACCTGGTCGAGCCCCGACGGTTCGACAAAAAATGAGATTGACTTCATTATGACGACCAGACGCCAACTGTTCAGTGATGTCTCAGTGATCGCAAGGGTGAAAACCGGCAGCGATCACCGAATGGTTAGAGGCACACTGAACCTAAACGTTAAGTTGGAGAGGTGTCGTCTAATGAAGTCAACGCTCCGTGCCCCTCGTGCTCTAATCCAGAATCCCGAGACTTTTCAGCTCGAGTTACGTAACCGCTTTCAGTGCCTAGAAGATTGCAATGCAGTGGACGATATGAATGACAAGCTCGTGGAAACTGTCCATGCGGTCGGAGCTAAGTTCTGCAAGACCCGCCGCAGAAGAACACAAAAACTCTCCCATCACACTCTTAATCTCATGGCTGTTAGACGGGAGATGAGGCTGCAATCGTCAACAGATTTTACAGCATACAGGCAACTGAACAGACAGATCTCCAAATGCATGCGGCGAGACTTACGCAACTTTAATACTGCTCGTATTAAAGAAGCGATCGAGCGGAACCAGGGCTCCAAAGTCTTTTCCAGAGATCTGTCTGCCAGAAAGAGCGAACTGTCAAAGCTGAAGACTGAGTGTGGCAGCATCGTTTCCGAGACACCTGAGATTTTGAGTGAGATTGAGAGGTTCTATGGGCAGCTGTAGACATCATCGTTGGAGCCACACGCAATTGTGAGTAACGATCCAAGAGCAAGTCTTACCCGACACTATTCCGATGACATCCCGGACGTCAGTCTGAGCGAAATTAGAATGGCTCTCCAGCGCCTTAAAAACGGCAGGGCCCCAGGCGAGGATAGAATTACAGCGGAGCTTCTGAAAGCGGGTGGAATACCGGTACTTGAAGTCCTTCAGAAGTTCTTCAATTCCGTCCTCCATGGTGGCACTACTCCGGAGGCGTGGAGCAGAAGTGCGGTGGTCTTGTTCTTTAAGAAAGGCGACAACGCTCTCTTGAAGAACTACAGACCGATTTCCCTTCTGAGCCGCGTCTACGTGCTGTTTTCGAGAGTCATTACGAATCGTCTCGCACGCAGACTCGACGACTTCCAGCCTCCCGAACAAGCCGGTTTCCGAAAAGGCTTCAGTACCATAGACCACATACATACCCTGCGGCAAATTGTACAGAAGACCGAAGAGTACAATCTGCCACTTTGCCTGGCGTATGTGGACTATGAGAAAGCCTGTGATTCCGTCGAAATTTGGGCGGTGCTACAGTCCCTTCAGCGGTGCCAAGTTGACTGTCGGTATATCGAAGTGCTGAAGTGTTTGTACAGTAGGGCTACGATGACTATCCGAGTAGAGAATCAGAGCTCGAAACCTATCCAACTGCAGAGAGGTGTAAGACAGGGTGACGTTATATCTCCGAAACTCTTTACCGCTTCATTGGAAGACGTTTTAAAGTACTGGACTGGAAAGGGTACGGTATTAACATCAAGGGTGAGTACATCACTCACCTTCGATTTGTTGACGATATAGTCCTTATGGCTGAATCGCTGGAGGACCTTAGCACTATGCTCAATGACCTCAATGGTGTCTCCCAACTGATAGGTCTTAAGATGAACATGGACAAAACAAAGATCATGTTTAATGTCCATGTCTCACCTATGCCGGTAGTTGTTGGGAGCACTGTGCTCGAAGTTGTTGACGAGTACGTACCTGGGACAAATAGTCCTACTAAGTAAGTCCAACTTTGACTGAGAGGTCAATCGACGGATTCAACTCGGCTGGGCAGCGTTCGGGAAATTACGACACATCTTCTCGTCAGGTATACCTCAATCTCTGAAAACTAAAGTGTACAACCAGTGCATGTTGCCAGTGATAACTTACGGATCAGAGACGTGGTTCTTCACTGCTGGCCGTATGAGGACGCCCAAGGTCGCTCAGCGAGCTATGGTGAGGGCTATGCTCGGAGTTTCTCTGTGTGATATTTCAGTAGAAAAGGTACTATATTTATAAAGCCGATAAGGACCGCGACCGAGGCAGTATTGAATTGGCGATGCAAGCGAAGACTTAGGAGCGAAATAAAGTGAACTAAAGTATTAAGTGTGATTAATTATTAGTGTGTTTTAAATTTTAATAGGTGTTCGATCATTAAAGTGTAATTGTAATTTGTGAACTAAGCTCGTAACATTACCATCTGAATGCATAATGATGTTGTGCTGCTAGACTCGGCACCTAACGAGATTTTCTCCATTTGAATCCGTTATTGTTTCCTTTCCCGTAAATAACTCTTGGCGCATTCAGAACCCTTATTTTGCCTTGTATTCTCAAATCCTGAGATACTTCTCTTAAGGTCGCATACGTCATCGCTACTAGAGATCTCTACATCCACATTTGCTTGAGCAGCCACCAGCCACATACCCTTGACGAAAATCTTTTGTAACATGTCAGATTCATAATCAAATTCTCCTGTAAATAGGCCACGATTAACCATTTCATCCTCATCACTCGATTCCTGATTTGCTATGAGATATATACACTCTTCGTTCAATCCACTGTTTACAGCCATCTGTAGACAAAACGATAAAAATTTTGAAAATATTAGTGTTGTGCTATATGTATTTTTCCATATTAAAGGAAAAATTAAACCAACTTTATACATGTGGATAAACTCTTATTTTACAACTTAATCTCAATAATCAATTATTTTAACCATAATAATTACATTTACTATAACAGTTTAACAATCGAAATACTGGGATGAAATGAACTTAGCAGTTGTCGACGGTTTATGTGTACTGCTAAATTGCTCAGTAGCTCTAAAATCTAAAAAAAAATTATTTAGTAAATATAACCTCGAAAAAGTCATCTATCTCACTAATATTTTTCAGTGCATTCTTTAAAGTATAAACCGTAGTTACAGTGGCACCACCCTTATTTAACGGTTTTATATGGACACTTTTTAGTACACAGTCTGCATTCCTTGCTTCTACACTCCATACATACGGTAGTCGCCAATATAGTGTATTATCTATGGTCGCCGCCGCGTATCACTGGCCAATGACCAATCCGTAGAGATTGACCTCAAGGTTAAATATGTGCATTAAAAACCAGTGAAATAAATTCAAAACACCTTGTGGAGTACTCCAGAACCCCGCATAGGGTTCTAGGGTTAGTTTACTACACTGAGTAAACAGTGTTGATAATTCATATACAACACGTAACATAATTAACGCACTTTGAGAAAGTAGTTTGTTCAGAATCGTTTACTGAATCGATTCCTATCATTTTTAATATAAGTAATTTTTTATCCCAAAAATAATTAAAACTACGTAAATTACAGTCACACTAAATCTGTACAGTCAAAACAAACTGAAATGGACTGTAACTTAAGGCAATAAGACTTTTTAGAGTGCAGTTTTATTTGTATTATTACTAATTCTGTCATTCAATAAAAATAAAGAAAAATGAACTTTATTTCAAACACGTTAAAGTCTTTGCGTTCGTGGATTTGTTCTGTGACCACAACATTCTTTCGGAATTAGTATAACTAATTTGATAAATAATCAGTGCATAAAAATGTTTAACTAAAAATTCAGTGTATGTATTATGATTACAACATAATATACTAGTTGGGGTGTCTGAGGGTGTGCGTTAATTACGTTACATATTGTATGTATTTAATTGTAATTCCCGAAATATCGGGAAGAACTAGCAAAAATTAAACGCAATAAAATCCGTAAAAATAGTTTTATTTAATGTCTAGTGTCGCTTAAATATAATAAATCATTAAGTAAAAGAATCATTAACTTTCAATAAGTATTCCCGAAATATCGGGAAGAACTAGCAAAAATTAAACGCAATAAAATCCGTAAAAATAGTTTTATTTAATGTCTAGTGTCGCTTAAATATAATAAATCATTAAGTAAAAGAATCATTAACTTTCAATAAGTATTCTCGTAATTTAGAATTGAATAAAAATACATTAGTAGATAAACTCCGGGTGGGATTCATACTCAGGTGCCTCGATTAAATAGTTAGATTCTATTATCCTATACACGTTTTCGCTAAGCCATAAAACGTGTAAATGGTTTAAAGGAAAATCCCAAATTACATCTGCCTTTAAGCCCTAAAACTTTCTTCGATGTTTAAGTGAATTGCTGAATAATATTGAATTATTTAAGAATTTAGACGTTCTTCCATTGTCTGCCTCCGACACGTCACAAACAACGGTACGGCGACGATACGTTACGGTTCTAGGGACTACGTTTTCTATTACCCAATTACGTTTTCTATAAACCGAAGCATACCATTGCAAGATTTAAGATACCGTTAGCTTGCTCTGCACAGGTCTAACCGAAAATTTTAAAACTTCAAATAGGTAGCCCAGGTTATGATACGGGGTGGTCATACACCTCAGTCTCTCCCGTGACTACGGGAATCGTCAAGCATCCGTAGCGTCTGAAAATAAAATGAGTAAAACAATTTGTTAATTTAAACGCGGTAAAATCCGCAAAATGAGTTTAATTTAATATTAAATCTTTTTAACTCTTACTTCGATTTATCTTTCGTCGCTCTCCAGTAAAATTAATTTATAGTTCTTACTCGGTTTTGAAATGGACAGCTGAGTTGCTTTTATAGCACCAGTAATAGTATAGGTGTGTGCAATCTTGCTGTTGCCTTCGCCGGTAAGTATAACATCGAAAACATATTTAATATAATGGATTTCCGCATAGTCAGCCAATGGATAAACACTGATGAAGGTTTAATGACCTTTTAAATCTTAAGTGCGGCTTTTGTGTTATGAGTAGGCTTTATTGTTAAATCCTTTGACTGATCAAAGACGCGTGCTTTTTATAATTTGAGTAAAATTTACTTAACAAAATTACCTACAACTCACAATAAGCAGGTGAAATGCTATAGAAATGTAATTGTGTAAAAAAAAAACAAGTGTGCTTATGACAATACGACTGAAATAAAACTTCTTTAGCTCGATCTGTATGTATGTATGTTTATATATGCATATATGTATGATATAAACATGTATACACATATTAATTTTCTACAAATATTTAAATTTATTCTAGGCTTCCTTCCATAATTTGTTACTATGGAAGGAATACGTCTATGAGAGAAAGAGTAAAACAAAATTGCGCGCGCACTGCTCTCTCTTGCTTGTATCCACCACTCAACTCCCGTCCGTCTCACCCTATTACACTTTTCGTAACGCGTTCGTCACGCGTTCGCCAGTTTACAACCATGAAGATTTAAAACTGAATGATAATAGCTTATCTTTGATACCTCGGCCGAATAAAAGAGGGTACTTTGTAATAAAAGTACATATTTGCAATAGTTACCAGGCTTGGCAGGCGGCTCGCCAACTGCAGTTCCTTATTTTTTTAGTTATTAATTAGAAAACGCTGCTGTCCCTTCAGTAGTTCGAATCACTATGTCACGTCCACAGAAATAGTAATGATAAGATAATAGAAATGAATTAGCGCTCGATTACTTCCAAAACCGATGTCGAAACATCATAACACATACCGTAAAATTTGGCAACTTGACCACATTTTTTTAAGTTTTTGATATACTTATAGCCCAGACAGACTTCTTTAATATTTTATGATTTGTTTATAGCAACAATGACTTAATCATCAATTTTCACTAAGTATTTTTTTGAAATTCATTTAACCTGACATTCTATTTAAAAAATAGTAACAGAGGTCAAGTTGACACAATTGTGGCATCTTGACCTACTTACCAATTTTCATAGGTGCATGCATTTCATTTCCTTTCGTAGGTCAAATTACCAATATTTTAAGTCTTCGGATTTTGAAGCATGGTAACCCAATTTGAATTTATAATAAAAACTGGTAAACCTGGATACTAGGTCAAGTTGCCACAGGATCGGTAACGATTTTCATACAAAATATGCATATTGGATAGGGGTGTCACAATAAACAAGACACTAGTGATAATAATCTATTTATTTATTTTATAAACTTAATTAAAAATTAATATTTTACTTACATCTAATAGTTAAGAAAACATTACTTCATCATTTAAATTTTTAAATAAACTTCGTCGTCGTCGTCGTTGTAAAAATTATATACACCTCTGAAATTTTATTTAATATTTGTGAGTCACTCATGTCACAGCCTTTCAGTTCTGTATCTCCCTGATCTATCTTTGCTATCCTTTCAAATATTCCTTTTTCAATAACATCCACATTTCTTGCTACATCTACATCCGAGTTAATTGGTAGATCTGGTGATTTACTAATAACTTGACTACTATGTTTCTTGATATTTTAATAGGTGCCTTCTTTTCTTTCTTGCTATGTACTTTTCTCTCTTGCTTTGCGTTTTTATTATATTCGCTAGAAGTAGCTTCGTAGTGTTCTTTATTTCTGTCATCTGGATTTTCGATGTCACTTAAATTTCCACAGACTTTGACGGCGAGTTTACTTTGCGGTCCATTAAATTTATCAATTTTCATTTTCTTAGTTCTAGATTTTTCAGACGTTCTTCGAGAAATACCATAAGTTTTTGCGGCATCATAGGATGACATTATTATTTTGGACCTTATCGACTACTAGTGATAACATTTCGTTGGCGTAGTTTCTGTATGGTCTTGTTTCCTATAACCTCTTTTACTTGGTGACTTTTTATCCTAAAATAAATAGAGCTATATGGGTATGCGTAGATAATTTAAATATGTATTTTAGGTATATAAGGTTAAATAATGTTTGTCTGGAAGCTAAAGTGTACCTTTCTAATGATTATAACCATCAGTCTGCACAAATTTTGTTATGGTTACTTTAAAGCTTTCGCAGTTTGACAACATATTTATTTTATTTCGGGTCTTAATTTGTTTTGCCTTATGAATACCGATAGCGCTAAGAACCGAAATAAAATTGACAAATTTCACTACGGCAATCACTCAAAATGGATGAAAAAAAATTTAATCTTAATTTAATAATATAAATCAGTAAGTGCTACATAGTCGGATAATGTTTTCGGAAAACCGAAGATGAATTATGTTTCTATCCACAGTGAATAAACTTTAATTTTGTATCAATCCTGGGTGTAGGTCAAGTTGCCACGCAGCTGTCAAAGGCAACTTGACCTAACATTAGCCAACAATGCCGAAGTAAATATTTTGGCAGATTAGTCTAAAAACGGACAAATCATAACATAAAATTAATGTCTGAGGTTTATTACACAACATATCAAAATTGTACTTACCAAAGATGTATATTTTAAGCTTTATAAACACAATAATGTCCACACCGGCAAAAACTGTTTTCTGTCGATCACACTTCAAAACATCCTAATGAATAAACCAACAGTGCTACAACTTTAAAATTACAGTATGTTGCTAGTGATAGTTTTAAAATCTTACCACCGTTAAAACGATTTGTCAACTTGTTTCTAATTCTACGAAATTCAATACTTTGTCATAAAACGGAACCTAAGGTCAAGTTGACCGGTAAAGGTACGCATTAAGCGACCGACGCCAGCTGTCGTATTATAAACATACGCAATGCAAAATGATATCTAATGTTTCACATTACATTGCTTGGCGAGTTTTTTAACGTTGCATGCATCCCGTATTACGGTAAAACAAAAGTAGCAATGGTAATTGTATAATAAAAAAGTAATAAATGAAAGTTTACAAAGGTAAATATTTTAGTAAAGTATTCATCTAGATGTAAATCAGTTAAACAATGATAATTAGTAAATAATCAACTTAACCATGAAATGTTATGCCAATATTAGTTGAATTACACGTCCTTGATGAGTTTTTACAGCTGATTATGCTGTAGTTCACCATTATAATAACGTAAATTCACGTACGACGTTCCCCGCGCAACCAAATCACAAAATGGTAAATGATGTTCGTCAATAAATCATAGCGGCGACAAGGTCATGCGTCTATGCGACTTCTGTTTTATAATTACGATTTCTGTGGTCACGTCTTACGACTCCCACGGGACGATATGGGGTAGTGGATATGCTTACACTACCACTACGTGGTTAGCCGGTGGTATGTATTTGTACATGAAATAGAAACCTGTTGTTAAACCTGGCATTAAGCATTATTTAAGAAGCAGCAGTATCCTCATGATAACACCTTTAATTTAAAAAACAAACATGCTGTTTCTAACCCCGCTCCATAGCACGGTGAGTGTGACAGAATGTCCTCACATAAGACAATCTATTGGGAAGACCTATGTTCAGCAGTGTATTTTGAAAGATTGTAATAAATAAATTATTGAAAGAATTTCTTGTATAAATTTATTCTATGCTGTTCGTACCAGGATCATTAAATAAATAAAAAATGCAGCAGTTTAATATGCAAGTCGTATTAAACAGCGTCTTATAGCGTTACTTGTCGCGATATTTACGTGTCAAGAATAAACTATACAGTAGATAAAACTGCAAAGAAGTCAATTAAGTACTTTGAATGTAATATTAAACAACTAGAAAGCATTTTTTTAAAAGAATATTAACAATGCTATAAACATTACTAATATTCCCCTTAACCACTCGTGGTAAGCTTAAATTGCTTGTATTACGAGTGGTTCACGCCAGTAGTCGAATGGCGGATTCGAACCCACGACCTTTTTGAGTTCGTGGTCCGCGCCCTGCCGTTAGGCCACTGTCGCTTCAAATTTCTATGTATGTTTGTCTGTATGGTATAGATATAGACTGATTTTATTGAATTTTACCACTGTTTCGTATAAAAACCTCTGTCTTGGGGAAAACCAGCAAGAAACCCAGATTTATTATATTATATTATATTACATACATAACATACATAAACACTCACGCCTGTCACCCAGAGGGGTAGGCAGAGACTACAGACTTCCGTTTAGCACGATCCTGACATACCTCTCTCGCCTCTACTACATCCATATACCTACGCATACATGCTCGTCGGTTAAGGGTACTCTTAATTTGGCCCATTTTTAGTATATCGCCAATTTGGTCGACAAACTTCCGCTTAGGATGTCCCTTTCCGACTGTTCCATTCACTTCTGCAACATATATTTGCTTTGTCAGTCTTTCCGCATTCATCCTTTCTACATGACCAAACCACCGAAGCATTCCTTTCTTAATCCTGGTGATTGCATCATCTTGCAAACCACACTCTTCTTTTATCACACAGTTTCTCACCCTGTCACTCAGATTCAGCCCTAACATACTCCTTAGCGACCGTATTTCTACTGCATTTATTCTACTCTCAAAATAAAAGATATACACACATAATACATAAACACATATCTGTTACCCAGATGGGTAGGCAGAGACTACGGAATACAAATTGGCACGATCATGACACATCTATCTTGCCCTCTTTTCATCCATATACATATGCATAGATTCTCGTCAGTTAAGGGTACTCCTAATCTCGCCCATTTTCAATATATTGCCAACTTAGTCGATAAACTTTCATATAAGGCCCTTTACTTCCCGACTCTGCGGTTCACATCTGTAACGTAGATTTGCTTTGTCACCCTTTCCTCGTTCATTATTTCTACATGACCATACCACTGAAGCATTCCCTTCTTATTCCTGGTCACAACATCATATAGCAAACGACACTTTTCTCTTAACACAATTTCTTACCCAGTCATTCAGATTCAGCCCTGACATACTACTTACTGACACCACTTCTTCTACCACATCCAAATTTCACTACTGGTTGCGCGGAAAAACCATTCGCATTTATTTTATATTTGACGGTAGGTTGCCAAGTCGGTTATCCCTTTCCAAAACGATATCATTCATACCCTCCTATCGACACATCGGGGTGGTGGGGTGGGAGGGGAAAGAAGATGATTCTAGAATGTCACGTAATCATCGGAACCGAAGATATATAAGGCACGCGCGACCGACGCGCAGCTCTCTTCCCGCCGCGCTCGTTGTTGGAACCACACCACTAGTAGAACCGCTTTAGCCTGGAAGCAGTCGAGCTCCAGGAAACCCGCCTCACCTCGTGTGAGATATAGTCGCGCACCGCCTCTCTCCGGAGTGTTCCAGAAGAAGTTCCAGAAGTCGCAGCTATAGTGCTCGACCGCATAGAAGAAACCCCGGTGAGTCAATATTCCTAAATATATCCTGCTTGATATAATTGTTTTAACCCGCTCCAATTTTGTGTTTTCCTAATCAAGCAGGATTCCTTTCATCGATTTGGCAAATAATAGTTCATTTTAGGGAAGAGCGAGTGCATTGTACTGCGCACTATTGTCGTCGTTATATAAGCGTAGAAGCATTTTGTAGATACAGTCCACTTAGATTAATAGCTCGCGTAATAGGTTTAAGGTTCGACCGGGGGAACTAGACTTCGGCGACCTTAGACACGTGGCTCCACCATTTTATGGTCACTTCGGCAGGATTCGGACTGGTGTTTAGTGGTCCTCCAACCATTTTCTGGTCGAATTATTAAATTAATTATTTAGATAATGCACTCTAATCTATGGAATAGACTTAAATAGTGTTCGTTTAAATTTAAATTTTGATTAGGTACTCGCAAACAGAATTATTTATTTTATAGCGCTCGTATTTGGTTAAATTTAAAGCTTATTAAATAATTGAAACAGTGTAATAGCAACCGTTTGGTACGCTTACCCGACAATTTGATAAAAATATTGAGTTAGCGAGCAACGCGTCACCTCGACTCGCTGTAACAGGTGTTCGATTTAATTACGTAATACGGCATACCGAGTGTCCATCGTCCATCGTTGTGCGTTGTGAGATTAATTGTGATTAATATAACTTTGTTATAATAATTTAAAATGGCAGTTAGTGGAAATGAATTTAAAATTAAAACGCTTTATGCCAAGAGGGACGTACTTTTTTCACGTATACAAAGCATTAGCGATCACGTAAAGAACATTAATGTAGAAGCGGTGCGGGAAACTTTTCTGAATGAAATTGAAACGGTGGATTCTTTGCGGATGGATTACGAAAGAATATTAGACCAAATTAATCATTTGGAATTACAACTCGACCCGAAATACATAGTGAACTACCAACCGCTGCTGGCATTCGAAGATATGTTGTGTCGCGTGAAAAGAACGGCAAAACTCCTACAATCTCAAAACGAAGCAAAGCCGGAAATACAGGTACGTCCACGTGACTCAATTAGGTTGCCGCCAATAGATATTCCGGTATTCAATGGTGATATTAAGACGTGGCCCTCCTTCTTCAGTAGTTTTCAAAACAATATACACAATAACCCATCGTTATCGGACGCTGAAAAATTATATTACTTAATTAGTAAACTTAGTGGCAGGGCACAGTCGATCTGCTCTGGTTTTACACCTACAGCAAACAATTACTTATTAATATTCGAAACGCTTAAAACTAAATATGAAGATAGGAGAATGTTAGCTTCCGAATATTTGAACCAGATATTCGATCTTAAACCTATATCATCCGCGAACATCAACGGCTTAGAGCAGTTTCTAGATAAATTTGTGGCATCGGTGGCTGCACTTAAGAATTTAAAATTTAATGACCTTATGGACGTGGTGTTTCTCCATATTGCACTAAAGAAAT